ACCACGTTATAAATAACCTAAGATCCAGTCCAATAAATATTGCGATAGATTTGCTATTGCCAGTACATCTGTATAAATATCTGTAATAAGAGAGATCAGAAAAGCTAACCATACATGGGAAAAGATCCATGTGCAATATTTCATTCCACTTCAGAAAAACAATGTTAGGAATATGGCATAGGGAGAGAGAAAGAGATTCCTGTACAGACTGCAATTTATTTGGGTGAGAGACAGGGGGGAGAAAAAGAAAAAACAAAGGAAAAAAGGCAGCATGCAAAGCAGGACTTGCTTAACCAAATGACTGGAAGTTAAACGGTCTTTGAATGCATTCAAACAGCAGCAACTTATTGTGTACTGACTGGGTCCTCCAAGCCAAGCCATTGCTAGCAGCAAAAAGGACCTGCTGAGCAAGACAGGCACATAGGCACTTTTTTTCCCCTGTATTATAAACCTGCATTCTGTACCAAAGATGTTGGAAAACACCCCAAATATTTGACTGGCTATTCACTCACTATTCCTTGCTGATATCCTCTACATCAGCTCGTCTTGACCATCCCTGATCCCTTGACCCTCAGAGCAAGAACCAAAGTGGCTCAGCACAAAGCCACCTTGCATGTCCCTGAAAGGGAAGATATGGCCTCCTCCCACCTCATCAGCTTCGCTTGTCTTCATTTTGTTTAGAAAGTTCAAGAAGTATTTTAACAGAATAGAAAAAGGGAAAGAAACGGAAGCTTTTAATGTCCCCATTGGTTCTCTATTTATGTTGTTCTGGGGCCCTGGGATCAAGAGATAATGAGACTACCATTTTTCTCCACTGGGTCAGTTCACTTTCAGAAAGAAGGAAAAAAAAAGATGCATTATGCAATAGGATGTGCATAAGCTTTTGCATTAGCTAAGATTTGTCAAAAGGTCAGGATGATTTAGCATCCAGTTTCCAGCACTTCAGTTCTGGTAAAGACTCCAGGGGCACACAAACTGGGAAAAACAGGGACTATTTCTTCAATGTCAAGTGACATATATAGGAAAAGGTACTAAAGGTTGCCAGAAGGAGCTAAAATTCTGGGAGAAGCACTGTAGACCTGAAGACAACAGTTCTCCAGGAGAGGTAAGAGGCACAAGTGGGCACTCCACTTCTGCTTCCTTTTTTCCATGGTTGTCCTACTTCGGCTGCCCCACTCTTTGCCCCATACATCTACCCATGAAAGACTGCAACATTTGCTCATGTCTGACCTCATCCACTTGCTTTGGGGACATCTGCTCTTGGAAGCAGCAATTTGGGTCCTCCTCAGATTTTACATAGTGTCATCAAAATAAAACCTACCTGCTAAAGTTGCATGTTTTTAAGCATGAGAAGCATGACACATACATAGATCAAGCCTATCACACACACTTATATTCTCCAGCACGGATCTAGTTCTTATTTTACACATATAAACCACACAGACTACAGGTACAATGTGTCCTCTCCTACTCAGGTGGTTTACCAAGGAGGATCAGCTCCTGACTGACCATGGGTTCCCACCAAAGGGTTTTAAGTAGCAAAACACTGAAAGCCAGAGAACTTTTTTTCAATGGATTCCTTTTCTTTAGTAAAAGAAAGAAAAACAAAACAAAGTCCCTTTACCTGGGTAGAATAGATGTGGGGCAGCATAAGCCTCAATTAGCAGGTCAGAGTCTGCCCGTATGTAATTATAAGCCCATTTGGTCCTAGCCTAAACACTCTGATCTTAGTCCCAAAATACACAGTCTGCCTGAAGAGACACAAAACCACAACCACCCATACAGTGACTTGCCAGCCTCAAACTGTCCATGTTGTTCTTTTGCTTATCAGAGTTGATTTTTTGGACATTTAGACTCCAAAGGCTGCTTGCTGCAGAGCAATAAAGCACACTGGAGCATATGCTGATTTGTGGAAAATTACCTCAAGGACAAAGGGAACCCTTGCAATGATTTTACTGTCTGTCTGTCTCTGCAGGACATGCTGCAAAGGTTAATTTTATTTGAAATTCACATTTTTAATTTGTGTTACTGATCAATGTAGCAATTATAAATGTTCATCTATTCCTCAGTGGCCTTAAAAGCAGAGATTGAGATTGTTGCACTAAATAAAAATCCCATTCCTTCCACTTAAGGCTTGAGTGATATCAAGGGCCCACAGAGTCAGAACACTAAACACACATACTTTCAAGGCACATCCTTAATCAGTTCTAAAGCAGGATGGACCAATTTATATCATTTTAACTTAAATCAGTTTCATCAACTGTGATTTGAAGCAGAACCTATAAATCACTATTTCAGTAAGTCCATTTGCACAACATTTGTGCCAACTAACAGATTAAGAAGTCAAAATTTAATTGCAATTAAAGTAGCTTTGTGATTGAATGATACTAGTTTTTGTTAACTAGGAGAATATGCTAAAACTGCTAAAGTTGTAGGAAATAGCATTTTTAGCCATTTCGTTGACTTTTTGATGTGTTCTGTTTCACGTTGCTTCCAAAAAATATACAGAACATATTCTTTTTCAATAGAACTACATTGTGTACAGAATATTTTAGAAAATATAATCAAAATACACCTTGCATTTAAAGGTAATTGATGTTCCTAATCATAGACATATTATCAGTAGTTAACCAGCTGAACTTTTTTCTTTGCTACCATATTCAAGATTAGAGTTAGTAGATCTCAGACTCCCACACATGGGGTCCCTTCAATGCATAAGATTCCCATGCTATGGGAATAAACAAATTTTCCTGTTCTTTCAACTCCCTGTTATTTCCCCAACTTGGAATAGTCTAGTCATTAACTGAAGTAAAACAGATAAAATAATAAATAAATGTTCTTTTTGCACCTGCAGAAGAGGCTACAAATGTCAAAAGCTAGTTTATTACTCAAACTCCAGTTCCAGGTGCCTAACAAGTAATTTCTTCAGCTTAGTGAACTGACATTCTTCAGAATTTTGGCAGCAAATATATAGTCTCAACTGTTACGTAAGAGTCTATTAATGGTAAAATATAATTTTTTTTAGACATTTCTATTGAATTGAGGTCCTCCTTAACTGTAAGCATTCAGGAATACATTTCAAGTTGAGTTTAAAAAAATTTTTGATTTAAAGACTGTAAGATGCAGTGCTGTTTTAGAAAACTAGACGCAAGGCTCATCAATGAGGAACAATTGCTGAAAGGACAAGATGCTGAACGGATTAATTCACATCTGTTTTAGAGAGAAACCCAGCGGAAATACTACAGGTTCCAACTCAGATTTTTTTTTTTTTGTCTAGTGGATTTTATTCCCATCCTCAGCCAAGCCCGTTCTGCTCTCAGACATCCTCTGCTTCACTAGAGGCACTTTGCTGGCAGCTGCGACTCCGTCCCTCCCAAACTGAACTTTGAAGGGGACACCATTTCTCTTGCCCAGCAGAAATGAGTAGCTGAGAACTTCAGGCATCTGCTGCATAATTACTAAGATCCATTGCATCTGATAAAGCTCTTTCCCCTGTGTCCCGTTGTACCGACCTGGCGATGAACTCCCTTCCCAGCACGTCATCATTCTTGGACGACGTGCAAGAGAAAAAGCACGGCTCTAAAATCCAAGTTTTCTAAACGAATCCCAATATTTATTCTAAGTCTGAGGAACGTCACCATGAGACGTCAGAGTGGGGTTTGGAGCCACCTATTAGTTATATCCGTGCTACTCTCAACCTTTGGCTCTAGGATACCCTTTTGTAGAGGACAAAATATGAAACGTGACAAAGGAGAAAGTTGGGAAAGGTAATTCAAGGCTATGGTCTTCACTGCATTTCATAACTAGAGGTCCCTTGTGTTTTAGTCAGACCCTGGAATTGCATTGTGGTCCTCATTTTCAAGATTATTTCTATTATGATAGAGATTTGCTTTAATTTCTGCGTGTAAGTGGTCAAAAGGGTGTTGCTGCAACCTGGTACTTACCTGGCAATGCAAAGTGATACCAGTAAAAGAATGCATTTTGTCCTTCACTCATAGAAAAGGATTCACTGTCCACTAGAATAAGAATAGAAACTACTTTTAGCAGAGGTAGTTTTGACAGGTTTTGAGTTTACAGCACAGAGTATACAAAGCAAAGAGTGGGACCAGGGAGGTACACCCCTGGGACACAACACTACTATTAATTCCACAAGGCACTGCAGGAGAACTTCCCAACCAAAACCTTTGGATTTTGAATAAAGACTTGGTAAATAAATAAAGTCTTGCAAAGGCTGAAAACCTTTTGGTGGAATAAAACTCCTGCCTATTCCCATCTTCAACACAGGAGCAGACACCAAAGGCGGTAATTGAGGCATTGTCACCACACTGTAGCCGAGGACATTCAGCCACAAGGTCTCTCAGCAACACCTCCTCTCGCAAAAGCAGCAGAGTTCACAGTCCCGCCACACAAGTCTCAGGCTATCTGGATGAGTGATTCATGCAAGAGCAATGAAATATTTTATAATCTTGGAGAGCTCCTATAAGAGTTATCCCTGTTTAAGTCATCAGGTCTGCAAAACTTGCATAAAGAAATTGGAGGAATACTGAAAAGGAGGGTCTCAACATGGTGATATAGTATTCAGTGTTGTGCAAAACATAGCAAATTTCAGCAATCTTTAAATCTAGTTTGCGTACCATTCGGAAAGACGTGCTTTAGTCAAATGCAAACTATTAAATAAATATACGGAAAATGCAATGCCATGGAAGGAATAAATAAGCGATATGCACCACATCAGACTAAACAAGCTAGCTGCTCATGCTGGCTCCACACTATCTTTTAAATCATTGGAAAATGATCATCAAGCAAAATCTTAAAAATAAAGTGAAGTAGATGGGTCTCTCTCCCTGCTGTCTGCATCAACTCTGCACTGAACCTTCTGCACAGAGCAGCCTAACATCATCTTGCTGGCTTTAATTCCCTTGTGCTGACAGTGAAAAAGCCTGCAAAAAAACCTCAACATATCTGGTAATTGGAAAATTACCTTTCTGTACTAGAAAGGTAGTACAGAAAGTACTACAGAGGTAGTACTAGAACTGTGCAGAGGTAGCACCAGAACTAGAATTTCTTATTTGTACAAAATTAATGAAATTAGCCCGCCCCTCCCAGACAGCACGCAATGAGGAACGGCCAGACAGGCGTGTCTGGAGACCCACCATGCTCCTGTTGCTCCTGGTCGTTAGGTGGGTCCCTGATTTTGCATATGCTCATATCTGACCCAATAGCATACATTTCATCCTACCCTGAGCTGAAATTCAGACCCTGCCAACCACTTTGTTAGGACATTGGCTGGATGGTGATGCTAATCAGAATGCCTGTGCTAGCTGGATCCTTCGCCTCTTTGTGTAGGGAAGGAGGATGAAGAAAAGAAAAACTAGCTGACAACAGGAAAATGGAGAAGCTCATACAGAACTGGCCCAGAAATAATCAGATTTCTAACTCCTTCCTTTGTTCCTGGATCGGTTCCCACTGCAGCCAGATAAACTCCTCCTCAGTACGATGCACAGCTTCGCATATTGATGTAATGAAGTGATGGGTCACGCTGGTGTTACTGCAGCCTGGATTTATGAGGAGACATCATCGCCTGAATCTGTGGAGCGGAGCAGCAGGGACGGTTCTGTTTGACTCTGTTTAAATGAGTGGGATGAAATCAATCATCTGAAAGCCTCTCCTAACTTTGGGCTTGATGCTCTGGATGGGCGTAGCTCCCCTGAACTCAGGGAGGCTACAGCTACATCTACAAAGAGTCTGGCCAGATAGGGATTAATGCACAAAGCAGGTATAGCTAATAGCAAAAGCAGGCACACCTCCTGCAGGTAATTCAGCGTATTTCCTCTTCTGCAAGTGGAAGGAAAAGGTTTAGGGCAAACAAAAGCTGCTTCCCTGATGATCACCGCTCATCTATTTGGCATGTTGTTAGCATTCCTCATTCAGCAACAGCTGTGCATAGTTGGTCAAACAGTCCAAGCTGTTTGTCAAAGTTCTCCTAAGGCTTTTTATTTCCCTGTTTTGCTGTGAGGTGCCCAAACATAAGTCATCTCTGGTGGCCTTTGGAGCATATTAATTGAGAGCACAGTTTCAGAACTGTCATGTAATCAGTTAGCTGGAGCTTGAAACGGAGCATTTTTCCCTCACAAAGGTAACCCAAGGTGGAAAAGGTATTTCCAAATTAGCATGTTATAATTCAGACAATGTATTTCCTAGACATACACCTCCCAATGCCAATTCACAGGCATTTGCTTTATTAGATGTGATCTAAAAAAAGCAGTGGAGGAAAACTAATCAAAACAAGGGTAGGTCTCAAAGCTTCCTAAAGGCAGAGAGGGGAATATTGAATTTGAGTCACAAATTCAGGGGCCCCTGGAGCACATTCCACGTTTGCTTCAAAAATTCTTGCCCCAAATTATGCCCAAATCGTATCATGTCATATCAGGCCATGATGCAGGTATGGTTGAATAAAGTCAGGGACTAATTTGACATATGGTGGTCCCAAACTCTCACATGATTTATGGATGTGAAAAACTTTCTTACCACAACTGAAAGTATTCCTGTGCACGAAATTAGATGAGAAAGATCAGGAATTGTCTCCAGAGAAGCAAATTGACTTAAGGGCTGTTATTTGTCACGATTAGTTTGTTTTTCTAGGAGAAGAGAAAAAAGAAGAAAATTTTGAATTATAGCCACTTGATAGGTAACATTTCATAAAACAGGTTAATCCTTGTAATCTACTGCCACTGTATCAGCAGAGGGCTAAATCAAATGTTTTTTTCATCTTGTATATCTGTGAATACAACCCATTGCAGGAGTGATTCAATATTTCTACTATCTGTGTGGATTACTGCATATTTCATTCTCTTTTGAAAACTAGGATAGATGAAGGAGTATGACATATCTTTTTTTCTGGCAGAGCTTTAATCTTTCGCTCATCATGAATTTACCACAACCATAGTTTGAGAAAAATACATAAATGAAGGGTTTTTTTTTTCCCCCAGAAAAGGAGTTCCCAAATTAGAACTCTATAGCCACGGTGCTTAGTCATGATATAGCTGCCACTCCGTGTAAATAATAAGCATGTGAAGATCACAAATTTTTACTGCATTATTTATAAGAAAAAAGCATTTACACTGAGCAATGTATAAAGGTGTCACATTGCAACCAAAGGGTCAAATTCTACTCTTTAGAAATTAAGATCATCACATTTGGAGAAGCAGCAGCCAGCATTTTGCATCACTCTAGTGATTTCTTATGAGAGGATTCAAATTAGCAAGAGCTTATCAAGACCTTAAAAAACAAAAGGCTGTCTCCTGTTCCGCACTTAATGCTGCTGTGCCATTATCCATGCAACCCCAACCCAGCCTCCAAGGTAAGAAACTGAAAACCTCCATCAAGGAAACAGCTCCATAAAACAGAAAAATAAAGTATAAACAGAAAAATAAAACCAGGCACCAATATGTACCCAAAGGAACTATTAAAAGCAAAATGTTTGTCAGTACAGGATGCTCCACTGCACGTATCTGTTGTTCTCCACAATACAGAACATTTCTTTAATTGCTACACCTGAGACCAAGAGCATGAAATAAATCTCAGGCCTGATCTCAATGTATTTTGAGGCAGAGGTGACTAGCTGCACAAGGATCTCTCATTGTGAATAATGATTTAAACATTACTGCATTAAGCAGGTACTTTCAAGTTAGAGACACCTGTCTATAATCTCTCACTTTTTTTAAAAAAATTCATTTTATTCACGTCCTGCTGGTGCCAGACTTTCCCCAGATAATCCTAGTAAATGTCTCATTTGGGATATATGACTCACTACTTTTTGCTTTAGCCCAGATGTCAACAAGACAAGATCCAATGGCAAAAGGCAATGTACTAGAAGCTAGAGCAGCTGGGCTGATTCCAGACCATCACCTCCTCTCTCGGGGTCGTTGCGTGCTGAACTTCTATGTTCCTGTGTTATTTACTCAGACTGTAAGCACTGGCTACGTGTTTAGACGGTACCTTGCATAATGGAGCCTGAGTCTCTCCTGAGCCCTTAGAAACATGCCCTAAATTAGTATCATCCATTCCAACTCATCACTTGCCAAAGAAGAACAACAACAACAAAAAAAATGAGGTCAGTGATCTACTGAGACAAAAGAACCTGAATTAGGCACAAATCAGAGCTGATCACTATCACTACCCCGAGGAGCTGTTTGATATTTCTAAAGCAGAAGTCAAGCTACTGATCCTCTTGATCAGCATCTCTGTTGCCCTTGCATCACAGTGTGATGATAAGAGGCTCCTTTGACATCCCTGCAAGTGGTATGAGTCAACACAAAGGATACTTTAAATATTGATGTTAAAATGTTCAAAGCACCACTAGAAATGATAAATTTTGCTCTGAGCCCAAGCTGGATATTCTGAAAAGAATTTTAATCATTTCTTTCGGGGCAACACCAAGGTTCGTGCTTTTTTAAATTACTCCATTTACCATAGCTTGTCCTCTTGTGAACAATGGCCTGATGCTTCCATTGCCAGGTGTTATTACCCGTACATTTTCCAGGACTAAGCCATGCAGATCTGGCACTCCATCTACTCCCATTTTGTGTTCCATCTCTGTTACTACCTAATTCAGGAAAGACACCTCCTGAATTATGGTGACATTGCTTCATAGCAGATTTAGTGTCCAGGAAAGATATTAGATCCCCAAGTATCATTCTTCAGGAGAGCACTCAGATATGCCCTCAAAAACTAAGCACATCCTTAGAGCTCACCAAAATTAAGCACACATTTAAGAGATGTCCTTTAAAAAGCCATTGCTAGGTCAGTCTTAACAAATCTAAAACAGCTCAAAGAGCACCTTTCCCACACAATTTACCTTGCTTTGACACGATTTATTAAAAAGCCATCATCATTAAACTGAAAAGCAAGCTGGACAATTTTTTTTTTTAATGAAGATTTTTTTTTTTTTTTAAATGAAGAAAAATTTCCAGGCACGACAGCCCATTTCTCAGATTCATCACGTCACAGCCGGAGCAGAGGACTGCATGGAATCCTCAGCCATCAAAGCTGTTGTGCTGCCCGCCACGATCACGGTGCAATTTCTGGCAAGTGTGGGCATCATTGTCCAGTTTGATTTTCCATAAAGCACGGGCAGAGCAGGAGATCAGCAACCTCTTTCACAAGAACCAGTTCCTCATTTTATCTGCATCTACTGGATGTGTACCCCCCTTTGGAGCATTGATTTGCAAATTTGCATGGGCAAAGATTAAAAGATCATAAGATCAAAATTAACAAGGAACAGACATACACTGATGCAACTCAACCAATATCAATGTGAACCCTTTCAATTTTCTTCCTCTTTCTAAAATTTCTGATTTAATGCAGGTCCAGGCTATGGTCTTCTTTCTCCTCATGATAGAGCGCGTTAACCAAAGTTCTGTGGCTAGCTCAATGGCATGCTAATTGTTTGTTTCCTGTTTAGAAATACATTGAATAGAGCCAAGTTTAATTTTATTCTCTAAATACCTCTTTATAATTATTTTCTTATATCTCTTTCTATAGATTTATATGAAGTTTTATGTTACTTTCATTCAAAACAACTTTCCAGAAGGTAAAAAAGTATTTTGACCTTCCTTCTACTACTACTTCCCATCTAACAATGCAATAACAATTCTCCACTTGATCTACTGCAACTTCAGACTTATTTATTGTAGTTGCCAGTTTCTTATGGGAAAGGCAGATAAGGAAATATTTCAAGAGGCTTGTAAATAACTGACAAGGACCACAAGACCTCAGTCACTTTTAAGATCTAAAGTGTTCTGCTGCGCTCACTGAAATACCATGTTTATATAATTTTGTTATGAGGATTCAGTGTTTTCCATCACTCAGTAATGGGTATAAACCACGTATTTCCTGAGAGTTCCAGGTACCGTTCTGGTAGCTGCTATTATAGTACATATTATCACATTCCTCTGGAGAAGCTACCGTAGAGCATCAGGGTGTTGACTCTGTATAAAGGCTCGTTTTGATTTAACTCCTCCTGTTTTACTCTCCAGAAGGAGGGAGCTCCAGCTCTGCAAGCCTGCATGGTTTCTTGGTTTCCCTAGGGAGAATGAGCCAGTGTTCAGTCTTCTCTAGGTTTCAGCCCCTTATAAGTTTCTCATAAAAGCTGTTGTTCATCTTTTTATTTTACTTTTCTTGCACTCCTGAGAAATAGTTAAGGAAAAATACCTGCCCTGAAACACAGCCCTGCAATATTTTTCCTGTGCTGCCACAAAGCTCCAAGAGTGAATACGAGCTGGCTAATAAATGCAGCACTCAGCCCCATACTGCTAATGGGATTGATGCTACCCGTGGCAGTGCTTATGATAATAAGGATGTTAATGAGAAGAGCTAGGCTGGTTCATGTTTTGTAAGAAAATGAATAAAAAACAGCCTTTGTCAACTGGGAAAATACAAACAGTGGAAAGAAAAGTTATAATCCAAAAAATGGCATTCAGAAAAAGGAGACTGAAACTACAAAAGCTACAGATATCAATGAAAAGTATTGTACATCAGCCTTATGTAACAAGGTCTTGCCTGTTCATATTAATATTATCAATTATTTATTGAACAAAGACTAAGAATTTATGCAAGCATCCTCATTCTTGTGAAAATATTTTAAAAATAGGGTTAGGAGGTTGTAAGAGGAAAGATCAGAAGTCCAGAAGGAGTTCTATTGAGTTTAGATGGAGGTCTGCAGTCTCTACCTTGTTTATAGGCTAATAAACTTCAAAGGTGCTTCAGATCTCATAAAGGAATAAAATGCCCAAAAAAGCTCCAATATTTTTATCATGGGAGAAGAATAAGATGTGGAATTATAAATTCTATCTAGTCTGTGTGTGCATCTGCAGAGCTTTGCTTTATAACAAATAACCCCACAAAGACAAGGAAAAAGCCCAAAAGATCACTTACAGGTGCGCTCAGGTTTACAGGGGTGAAGTGAAAAAGCGTGTGCCTCTTCCAGAAGCAGTTGCAGGCAACAGCTGGAAATACGGCTCAGGGATCATCTTGCCCTCTTGTTCCCTGCAGAAAGAGAGAGAATATAAATGCTCCTTAACTATGGTTAAAATTCACACTAAATCCACTACATCCACACTAAAATCCACCACCGCAAAGACAGATGTTGAGCTGATAAATGCAGTAATGTGCTATTTCTTTTTCTCTCTTTGATTAACATTAATTTTAATTAAACGCTCAATAGCAATGACCCAGAATAAGAACCAAATGGAAGAGAGCAAGCAGAGCACTTTTCTTCAAAAAGAAGAAAAAACCCACCAACCATTTTCACTTGTATTAGGCCACACAGATGTTTCCAGAGCTGATTTACACAGCAGACCTCTTTGAAATCAGGACTGTATTCCCTGGGACAGACTATTCTATACTGATTCATAGTCTAGAAGCATCTTAAATTCTAGAGCTTGTAAGAGAAGTCCATAGGAGAAAGCATCATTGGCCCAGAGACAGACTTTGATTCCTGTTTTTATCCTAATTTATGCAGTTTACAGAAAATATCACTGTAGACAGCACCAGCAGAAGATCAATATTGCTGCTGAGAGCCTTGTTACCACTAGGACTGTACGAATCTTGGATACTACACACAAGTATGGACAACATGGCCCAACACAGAAGCAGGACAGGGACTGTTGTTCAATAAGAACAACAAGAAATTCAATAATTTTCCATTATCTTCTCAGGAATGGGGCTGAGTGCAGCTCAGACAAAAATCACACTGCCCGTTTCTTCCACCTGCCTAGTAATTTTAATGAATACCTCATTGATACAATTGACATTAACACCTTGCACTGAATGAATGAAGATGAGATTGGTGCCTCTAAGAGACGCACCTGATCCTACCAGGGCTTTCAGGACTGTCTAGGGGACATGGAGCCCTTGAGAAACAAGAACACAGCTCGTTGCCTTTTGCACTTAAAAATAACTCACTTAAATGGAAGGAAATGGTGCAGGTGGCTCGTTTCCTGTGGGCCTGCGTGGCTCGAGTCACAGCGCACGGCCGGGCAGCGATTCAGCCGCCTGACGTCCAGCCCCGTTGTCCCCATCCGCCCGCGCGGGAAGCGGAGCCCAGTTCACAGCCCGGCATCCACGGATGCAGCCCCTGGCACAGGGCGATGCCTCTAGCACCAAGCAAGGTGCCCCAAAGAGCAGCTGTGCTGAGAAAAGGGATTAAAAGCTGCAGGTCAAAGCAAAATGGATTTTCCCCAGCTTACTTTCACCCACAGACCCTGGACAAACTGCACGCTACAGGAGCAAAGCACCGTGCCACCAAGTTAAAGCAGACCTGAGATGCCCCCCCAAAAAGAAATCACAGTGAGCTGCAAGTTGTGCTTCTTACAAACACATTGAGCATCCCTTATATCTTTCTTCCTTGGTCTTGGTTAAAAGAACCTCCAATTTGAGGCACAAATCACTTCCCAACCCTGCTACTGTATTTAAAGCAGGGCTTACCTAGCAAACTACTCAGGAGACAGTTTTTGTGAGCACTTTGCTAAAACACAAGTGGGAGAGCACTGATTTACAAAGAAGCCCCTCCACCTGATGCAAAAGACACCTTGCAGCCTCCCATGCACATCCCCTGTGCAGTGACGGCTGATAAACGGGTGGGTGAGCAAGTCCAAGCCTCCTTGGAGCCCGACTCGCCTCCCTGCCTGACACTGCAAGGAAGCTACTGTCCCACTTCTGGCGCCGCAGCGGGAGGCCAAGGAACCGCCTGCGCTGCCATAAATCCAGCTTTTCCCAGCAAGATCAAGGAGGAGCAAGGCTGTGGGAGGCCTCCGTGGAGGCAGGGGAAGCTGCAGCAAACGTGTGAAAACTAACTGCATGCATGCTTACATCTGATACGTCTGCACATATGGGCACAGCCAGCCCTGCCCTCCTTGCATCCCACCAGATGCAGCTGGGAAGTCCCTTTTTTGTGCCTGAGTGTGTGTGTGTGTCATTCTGCCCAAGTTAAGCTCTCAGGGTATAAGACAGGACTGCTCCTCTTGCTACCACTGCTTGACATCCAGAGACCACGAATGAAGCAAATGTTAGTGCTTATTCATGGGGAGGCACACATGCACCCAAATTATGTTGGCTGTGTTAAAATCCCTCTATAACACACAGATTTGGTAGAAAAAGTGTAGGCAAAACTCCACGCCTGGTATGGTGCATTCAGAGTCAGAGATTCACCCTGCCCAGTCAGGATGCCAGGAATTTCCTTCCAGAAGCTGCTGCAAACACAGGTCAAGTCTCGCTCCTCCTCAGTAGCGCATGCCCTAGCTCAGTGCAGGGATGCTCATCCTTGCAGTGCTGAATGCTGTGCAAGCAAACCCAGGGGAAACGCTCACCTCGACTGCACCAATTCCTTTGCTTCTGAAGAGAGACAGCAGCAGCAGTTTAACTCCATTTCTGTTTCCCGTGCCAGAAAACACAAATCGTTTCAGAAAGAATCTTTCATTGAAAATTTTTCTGCCTTCAAATTTGCTCGAAATCTGTGACCAAGAATAGCAATTTCTTTCATCTTAGTTTTCTCATGCTGAGCTCTGACTATGCCAGTTTATGACATGAGCAAGACAACTTCTTTTCCACTTCTAGCTGAGGATTGAGCCTAGATTAATTTAAACAGCTACTTTAGATTTAGAGCTTATAAGTGAAAAATAAGCACATGACAATATGGAAATATATTTTTCCTCATTTTTTTTTTATATTATTTCCCAGGACCATGTCTAAGCTGATGACAGCACAACCTACTTACTTTGTTAACTATGGCTTGGCATTTACTATTTTCTGTAAATCAAAAGGGGGAGGAAACCGTTCAGATGTATTTAACACTCTTCAAAATTAAATGCATCACAGTGTGGCCAAGCGTAAAAACAGACCCCAGCTTTCATCAGGTTCTCTCTTCCCTTTTTGGAGGATTAATAATCTCTCATGCAAGAGCTATTGTCTTGTTACTACTAGACTATCAAAAAACCATTTGATTTCTGCAACGTGTGTGAAGTGAGGGTGGAAAGGATTTTTACTTTTAAGTAGTTTATATTCACACTATGTCCAGGTGAAACATTTCCTTACCTGAGGATCACCTTCTGCACAACTACCCAAAAGGAAAAGAAGTCAAATGAAGCCAAGGCTCATTTACTTCTCTTCATGCCTATCTGGAGAAGATTTTCATTGGAAAAGAGCCTGCTTGCAGGGAGTGCCAACTTTGTTATTAATAGCTGTTCCCTGGCATTCTTTTAGCCATTGCACAATTATTCCACCAGCAGAACAGGCCTTTACCACGTGAGCAGAGGTGGTTGATTCAAGAGGGTGGACAGGGTATCTCCAGGACTAATGGTGTGGAACGAGTCAATCCGTTACCTGCAAGAACTATCTAGGAACAATAAAGGCCAAACTCGCACAGTGCAATCAAGTACATTCTTCTGGGTCATTAAAGAAATATTCAGCTTGATGCAGCTGAGGTACAAAAGCTCTCTGTATCCTTCTTCTGCCAAGCATGGAAGAATGCCTTGCTCTAAATGATTTAGAGAAACTCCCATACGCCAAAGACATATCATTTACATGGAATTCAGGCAGATCCACGCAATCACTGCTTACAGATAATTATATGAAGAATCAGAGGGGGAAAACCTAAATGGAGTTAGGCAGCTTATCAGTAATCAAGGTTTATTTTAGTTCCTCCAAAAGAAACCTATGGACACTGGCAAACTGTTTTTCTACTGGTGGGACAGACACATGAACAATGAAATATACTCCTTCATTTTGATTCCATAACTGCACCCAGGTTTACATCTGGGGGAAAATTATATGAAACCACTTTTAATAAAAATGGTAGAAATGGGTGAAAAATTTGAGTAAGCTTGAATTTATTTTCCTTTCCTCGCTTCTCTCCAACATCTGCCCCCAAAAATCTCTTGCAATGCTCTAAATCACATTTCTTTCTACAAACACTATTAAATGTCCAACAGAAGTTAACTAAGCTTATGCTGTATGTCACTTAATGGTACTGCTGTCCTAACATATTAAAAACCAATTATCTTTCACATCATGCAACCTCAACTTTTAAAAAATAGTGTTAATTTGAGTTGTCCTGCTAATTAGAGGATCTACATCTCCATTGTTCTAAACAAATTACTTGTGCTCGGATTTGCTCAGGGATACTAACAGCATCACATTCACAGCTATTTTAATAAAGGCCAGATTGCGCCTAGCTTTAGTACTCCAAAACTTAATGAATTTATCCCACAATATTCACGGAAGACAATTAAGTGCCTTTCTCCCCATTTGCTGTCGGGGAGCTGGAACTCGGATGCAGTGGTTTAGATCCCCACAGAAACATCACACCATGTTTACGTGGTCCATGGCTTGGTGGCCAATGCCACACCATGGTGGTCACAACGGGACTGAGATGCGAGTCTCCCGGGCTTCCTCATCTCTGCTGCAATGCTCCCTGTCCCCAGGCTGCTGTGGGGAAAGAGGGACCAGAACTCATCTTGGAAGCTCTTCTGCACCTCCCAGGATGGCCCTCTGCACTGTCACCACGTCTGCAGGGCACTCAGGCACCTGGCTTTATCATAGGCATAAGCCCTAAGGGGCTGTAACATATGGGCACGGGGGAAAACAGAAAGCAAGAGACTACTGGAGTTTTGCCTGCAGCAGGGGAAGGAGCTCGCCTACGGGGAGCTGCTGTTTCAGAGCTATTTGATGAAATAATAAACAAAATGCTCCGTTGTTAATAATTTCTGCGGACCGTGATGCTTTGCAGTGCAGAGGAGTAGATGCACTCCCTGCCCAAAAAAGACTTCCTACATACTTTCCATCTGAAGAAACACTTTCATTTAGCAACAGCAAAAAGATAGAAGGCAATTCCTTAACTTTCATACTTTCTCTGCACCAGGAATAGCCCCATTGTCATCTTAGGTGTGTAAGGATTCAAATGGCTTTAACACTCAGGCTTTCTTTTGCAAATTGAATTAAAATGGCCCGGAACCAATATTGGGAAGGATAAAGGTCAAGGCTTTATTTAT